CTAAGTCTCAGACTGAGAAAAAATTGTCAGAAATAAGAATAAATGAATACAGCAAGTACAGTCGCAAAAGACAAGGTAGAAAGATGAAAAAGTAAAAGGTAAGAATGAAACAAAGAGTAATACAAAAAGAATAAAGTGTAAAAGGAGGAAAGAATAAAGAAATGTATAAAAGAAGTAAAAATATAAAAAGAAAGGAGATGAGAAAAAGTAAGAAAACATGAAAAAGTACAGAAAAAGTACGAAATCATGAAGGAAAATATAAAAAAAAGAGATGAATAAAGAACGGCAAAAATAGAAAGAAAAGAGATGAGAAAATAAAGAAAAAATAGATGGAAACATGAGAAAGGGTAAGGAAAAAAGAAATAAAATATAAAAAAAAGAATAAAAAAAGAAATAAAAAAGAAAAAAGAAAAGATGAGAATAGGTGAGGAAAACGAATGAAATTATAAAAAGTCGAAAAAAGAAAAAATCTAAAAATGAAAATAGCCGAATAAAAAAGAAAAAAAGAATGAAAATATAAACAGAAAAAATGTGAGAAAAATAAGAAAAAAAAATGAAAATATAAAAAGTAAAGAGATGAGAAAAAGAAAGAAAAAAGGACGAAATTATAGAAAAAATGACAAAAAGAGAAAATGAATTATAAAATAGAAATGTGATGAGACAATGATAGGAAAAAAAGAAAGAAATTATAAAAAAAAGAGTGGCGAAAAATAATGAAGGAAAATAGAAAAAAGATGTGAAAAAAGAAATAAAGAACGAAAGTAGAAAAGAAAAAGAGATGAGAAAAAGAAAGAAAATGAAAATGAAATAAAAAATTAAATTTAATGGATGAATAAAGAAAAAAGAAAATATATAAAGAAATGAGTTGAGAAAAGAAAGGAAAAAATCAAGAAAATATAAAAAAAGCGATAAGAGGAAAAAAGAATTAAGAAAGCTGAAATATTAGAAGAAATAAATATCAATGACAAAATTAAGAGAAAGAGTGCAAACAAATACGAAAAGGAGGAAGACAGAAAGAAAAAAAACCTAAAATGAAACAAAACCAAGAACAGCAGGAAAGAAATACTGAAAAGAATAAAAAAAATAGGAAAAATAGACGGAAAGAATAAAAGAAGAAATGTAAAGAAAAATAGAAAGACAATGAAGAAAAAGAAAAAAGTAAGAATTGAAAAAAAAAAACATAAAAATACTGAAAAGATTATAATAAAATTTATCTTTCTAGAAAGCAAAAAATAAACGTGAAGGAAACTTAAAATAGAATTCAAGGAATGAGAACAAATTAATGTGAAAAAAATATTAAACAAATATAAGGAAAAATAAATGAAGGAAAAGTTTTCTAATATCAGCAATCAAAATAAAAGTCGGAATAAAAACTGAATGTGGAAAAGTGAAAAAGAATTAGAGGTAAGTTTGTTTTTTTTTTCCACATCCTGAGAGAAAGAATGGAATGGTTTGAATGAATGAAAGGAAGATAAAAAAAATCTCACGAAATATTGAGTTGAATGCAGAATAAATAACAGCAAGAGCAGGAAACGTGGTAAGTTTTCTTTTTAACTCGGGTTGAGAAAGAAGTGACAAAATGGTAATGGGAATGTGGTAAATACATATAAAGATGAGAAAATGAAGAAAAAGTACAACGAAAATGTCAGATTAAAATGGCGGACACTAGTAAAAAAACAAAGGCGGGGAATTTTCAGACAAGTGTTGGTGTTCAAAGAAAGTCCATAGAAGAGAAGCGTGACGTGAATATGGGCGGATTGAAATGGTGGCGGGGATGCGAGAAGGCGTTGGTTGAGGAATGACAAGAAGGGAATGAAAGGGTTTGAAGAGGGCAGAAAGTAGGTGGACGTTCGGTGACATCGAAAAAGCGGAGCGGATTGAAAAGAAATGATGATCAAGAAAATTTAATGATCTCTCGCAAGAATGGGACAAAAAGTGGCGGAAAAGAATGATATGTTAACAGATTTAAGTAGGAAATGGAAAGAGCCGCTATAAGAGAAGGGACAGGTGACTAGAGTGTACAAAATAAATGAAATAAAAAAAACAACATTTTTATTAAATAGTAGGTTAAACAATAATCTAACTTAAGGTTAAAGGTTATGTAGGAGAAATAACGAATGAGAACATAAAAAACAGTTTGCGAATAAAAATGTAAATGAAACAACATAAAACAAGATAAATATAAGTGAGAGAGAGAAATAGAGAATTGTGAAAGAAAAAGAAAAAAATAAGCAGAAGAGCAATTTAAAAAAAAATAAGGGAAAAAATAAAGAGAAAGAATAACAACATAGGAATGAAAAAAGACTCGTGAAAATTGAAAATGCAGGAAGGAAATAGGAGAAAGAAAATGATATAAAAGTGAAAGAAAGAAAGACAGAAAGAAAGAAAGAAAGAAAGAAAGAAAGAAAAGGCGAAATTAGGAAAAAGGATAAAAAATAATTATGCTTGAGGAAGAATGAAAGAAAGAAAATATAAAAAAAAACACAAAGTAAAAGAATGAAATAAAGGAAGAAATTATAAAAATACAGAAAGAAAGAAAGGAAATAAATAAATAAATAAATAAATAAATAAATAAAGAAAGAAAGAAAGAAAGAAGAGGACCTGGACCAAGAAATAAAACAGAAGATTTGAGAAAGAAACAAAAAAAGAAAGAAAATTTTTTTTAAAGAAATAAAGAAGGAACTCAAGATCGACTGAAAGAATGAAAGAAACAAAGAATGGCAGAAAAAAAGAAAGGACGAAAGAAAGAACGAATGAACGAACGAAGAGGAAACGGACCAAGACATAAAACAAAGATTTGAGAAAGAAAGAATAAAAGAAAGAAAGAAAGAAAGAAAGAAAGAAAGGGAGGAAGAAAGAAAGAAAGAAAGAAAGAAAGAAAGAAAGAAAGAAAGGGAGGAAGAAAGAAAGAAAGAAAGAAAGAAAGAAAGAAAGAAAGAAAGAAAGAAAGAAAGGGAGGAAGGAAGGAAGAAAGAAAGAAAGAAAGAAAGGGAGGAAGGAAGGAAGGAAGGAAAGAAGAAAGAAGAAAGAAAGAAAGAAAGAAAGAAAGAAGGAATTTTGGAAGGAATGAAGAACGAAGACAAGATCGACAGAAGATATGAAAAAGAAAGAATTTAAAAAGAAGAAAATAAAGAGTGAAAAATCCAATCAACAAAGAAAGAAAGAAAGAAAAAAAATATATAATGGAAGTAGCTGATTCAAAAGAAAGAAATAAACAAGAAAAGAAAGCAACAAAGAAAGAATCAAGCAAACCAAGAAAAGGTCGTGGAAGAAGGAAAGCAAAAACTAAGGGTGATATAAAGGAATCATTTAAAAAAAGAAAAGAATTAAATACAATTCTCATGAGTATTCTATGAGGAGTCTGTGAATAAAAAAAAGACATTTTCAAATCAAATCAGATCCACACCAAAAAAAAAAAAAAAATCCAGCAGACGGAGATAGGAGAACACTCATATTTGGTCGACTTACTGCGAATGATTTACAGTTTCTTTACAATAAAGAAAGACGGATTCTGTTAAAGAATCGAAGGCATATAAGGAGAAAACTGATGTAGACGAAATTTAGAGTCCATTCCTAGAACTTCGGATTTTAATTACCACCTTCGACTTATTTTCTTTCTTTTATCTCAAACGCCATATTGACGACGCACAACCTATAACCTTTGTAAGGTTACTAACTTTTATATTGTCATTTCTGCTGATACCCTCAACTTTAGATTCCCTACATCTATCTATCTATCTATCTCTCTCTCTCTCTCTCTCTCTATATATATATATATATATATATATATATATATATATATATATATATATTCTATCTATCTCTAAACTTACAATTTTCATTTCTCTTTCTATTGACCCACACGCACCAAAAAAAAGACCGTCACGTATCCATTCTCGTTTGCGCCAGTGCACCAAAGGATGGAAAAGTTCCGCTGCACGTTCTTTTCTGATGATATCCTCAAGTTTCATTTTGCCTGCTCTTATCTATTTTTTGATCAATCGATCGGTCTATTGATCTATCAGTCGATCCGCTTATTTATCTATCAATCGATCGGTCTATCTATCTGTCTATTGACCTATATATCGATATGTGTATCGACCGATTGGTTTATCTATCTATCTATCTATCTGTTGATCCATCTATCTATCGATCTATCCATCTGAGTCTTTTCAATATCAATCTATCTATCTCTTCTATTCATCTATCTATCTATCGATCGATATATATTATTCTATATATCCATCTATAGAGATTCAACGACGTACCGATTTTCAGTTCACTTTCCATAGACAGACACCAAAAAGATACTTCAGGAGACATGGCACATTGGATAAAGGCGTTAGATACAGTGGCAGGACAATGCCTGGTTAAGGCGGTGGAGAACTTGGAGAGGGCAATTAACAGGAGATAGCTGAAAATTGTCATCCATTAGACATGGCACGTGGAACTAAAACAGTCTACACTAGCGAGCGAAGTAAAGGGTTCAGTTCAACATTCCAACCAGCTGAAGAAGGCCGAAGCTTCAACGGCCGAAACGTTGTGATAAATACGACAACAAAGTTGGAAATGATAGTGTGAACAATGTGAATAGAGTTTATATATATATATATATATATATATATATATATATATAATTAAAATGAATTTAATTGAATTAAATTTTCTAGGGGCGTATATATATATATATATATATATATATATATATATATATATATATATATATATATAATTAAAATGAATTTAATTGAATTAAAAATATATATATATATATATATATATATATATATATATATATATATATATATATATATATATATATATATATTAGCGGAAGGAGGCCGGAGCATACTACGGCCGAAACGTTGTGATAAATATGGCAACAAATATAGGATGATAATCTGAACGAATAATGTATATATATATATATATATATATATATATATATATACACGCCTCCGGAAAACTTAATTCAGGTCAAACACTCTTGATAGAAATGTGTGAATTTGTAAGCAATGACTACATCTGATGATATGGCTCTTTCATATATTGAGCCCTATCGGTTAATGGCGTGTTTATTCAGTTAAACAGTTAAGTACGTAAAAATTCGCCTTCCTTTCAACCCACCTCTGATAGCTCAGGGGGAAAAATCTCCGATTTATACCAAATCTGTCGGGTTTCACTCTTGGATTCAGGCAATCGGAAATCTAGCCACACTGATGAGTTGTGATACAGCGAAACAGTCTCTCTGTGAATGAAAATATATATATATATATATATATATATATTTTATAATGAAAATAACTTAAAAGTCCACAGTCAGACATACATTTTTTAGATGAATATAAGCATAATCATTTCATTAGACCGACTACAGTTTATGAAATGGAATCAAGATATTTCAGACAAGATATAAAAATATAATAAATATAGCATAAAAAAAACAAGATAAAACAAGCAAAAATAAATTGACTAGGAAAAGTTTTTTTGTTGGTTTTAAATTATGAAGGGAGAGAGCTGAAAAAAGTAGTTAATATAAAGGTTAAGAGAAGATGACACTGTAATGATAGCAGACACGGAAAAGAAATGACAAAATCTCCTAGAGAAGGTAGCGACGAAGAGATGAAGAGACTAAGCAAAAACTACAAAAAAACAGAATGCATGGTCATCAGTAAAAGAGGTTGAGCCCGAAATACGATTTACAGGTAGGGGACACTAAAATCAAACAGGTTCGGAAATTTAATTATCTGGGCAGTGTTTTGACAGAGGACTGCAAGTGCGACGCTGAGATCCGTAGGCGTATTGCGATGGCCAAGGACGCATTCCAAAAGCTATGCTGTGTATTACTTGACAGGAGGATTTCTTTGGTAACAAAAAAAAAGAGTACTGAGCTACTAAGTGACATCTCTAATCTATGTTACGACAGCGAATGTTTGAAGGTTTCCTCAAAGATGAAGAAGAGACTCGAGGCGGAAGGATGCTAAGGATATCATGGACCGAGCATGTGAGCAACGATGAGGTTTTGGAGAGGATGCAAAAAAAAAGTAAGCTTATACTTAACTTTAGGAAGAGGCAGCTGAAAATTCTGGGACACCTAATGAGAAAGGAGAGCTTGGAGAATCTGATACTCACAGGTCGAATAGCGGGAAAAAAAAACGGAAAGCAACGCATGACACACGACGCGGGCTTAAGGAAGTGGATGACGGAATATGTCCCGGGGAAAGTTTCAAAAGGACAAAACTTTTTGAGATCTACAAGGTATAGGGAGAAATGGAGAGCCATGATCATCTACATCATGAAGGGAGAAGGCTCATAAAAAAAGAAGGAAATGTTAGGAGATACGAAAGTTAAATTTAAAATAGAGCTACAATGAAACATCAAATAAAATTTACAGAAGGTGTTCAAATGGTGTCTATTTAAACAGCATCATCATCATGTAATCAACAACATCATATTACAGAGTTTCCCGCCAAAATTGGCATCATTTTAAAAGCAATTATCTTCAAAACTATTAAGTCTGGCTCAATGAAATTGAACTGTTTTGGTGTTGAATATTTATGGGACCGATTTCATAAGAGTTAAATATGTGACGTCTAAATTACCGCTACTTCTTTTCTATCTTCTATTAGTATTCGGATCGTATTTTCTAGTTTATCTTCACTACTATACGGATCTCTATTTCTAGTCTCTCCTCTGTTACTATACGGACCGCTGTGGCACCATGCATACCTAGCAAGCTGAAAAGAAATATTCATAAATATATGATTTGTTTTTTACGGTTTGTCAACCATTTGATAATTATTTAGAGCTGAAAAGTATTTGGGTTTTGAGAATAATTCTTTCTTTACGTTCAAGCGATCTAGAAGAAAGAAAGAGAAGACAGAAGAAGAAAAAAAGGAGAAAAATAAATAATACGAAACCAGGTCGTAAGCGAGCACACACACGCTCGACTGGCATATAACAGATGTCAAAAATATCAGGTCAAGCACCTGACCTACTTCCGTGTAATATTATTTAAGGAAAATTTTTGACACTGACGGCATATAATAGCTATTTCATTTCTCTGATTCAGTAAATAATTAATTTTTATAAACTTAGTAATATATAGTTTCTCGTGTATGCATAAAGGACAAGGGTCGTTTAATGTTGTAAAAATAAAAATAACTATAAGAACATCGGATTATATATCTTACTGTTCTTTCTTTTTATTTATATACATACTTTTGCACTCTTAATCTTTATTTTTAACAAGAAGAAAATATGGAGAAAATAAATTTCGGAATTTCTCTGAAGAACATTCCTAATACCAACAAAAAGGAATATTTCGTGATATTAATGAAATTTCTTTAAATAATATTTAAAAAAAAAAAAGTAAAAAAAGTCTATTGGAATAACAGTGAAAATATTTTAAACTTATATTTAAAATTTTAAAATTTAAAATTGTAGTTAAAACGAATCCAAATCTAAGCATCTTTTTAAAAAAAGTTAAACAAAATATATGCTATCCCAAACACCTCTATAATAAAAGGACTACAGGCACGTAAATGAATCCAATAAAACACCTACTGAAAAATGAAATTATAACAAAAGCTAGATGATGTAGGGTTGTGTACGACCCATGTCGTTTGTACATACATATGAAACTTTAGTACTTAGGTTATATATATTTAAAATAAATAAATTAATTAATAAATAAAGTTTACTAAATCTGAGAAATGACTGAGCTAGTTTTGTAGTAAGTGCCATAAATATTACTTAAATAATACTTAATTATAAAAGTTTAAAAATCGTAATTTACATATACTTTGATATGGAAAAATAATTTTACTTACTATGAGTAATTTTCCTTCTGTTATAAAGTAATATAGTCTATTAAAACTAACAATGAAAATATTTTAAAATTTTAAAGTTGTAATTTTGAAATTGTAATTAAAATTGTAGTTAAATAAAATGAATTCTAACCTAAACTTCTTTTAATTAGTACTACACGCACTTAAAAGAATCCAATAAAAACACCTATAGTAAAATAAAATAAAAATAAAATTAATATGAAATGCCATAAGATGTAAGCTTTTGAATGACCCATGTCCTTTGTAATTACATAAGAAACAATATATTACTAAGTTTATATATAAAATAAAAGTGTACTAAATCAGTGAAATTAAGTAACCATTTTTGCCGTCAGTCATAAATTTTTTTAATAAAAAAAAAAATGTAACCTCATATACATACTTAAACTTGATGTTAAAATAATCCTACATAATATAATGGATTCTAATACATGTAACTGTTCTTAAAAAGAATATAGTATAATAAAAATTAAAAATGAGAATATTTCAAATCGTAGTTAAATAAAAAGTATTAGGATCTGAACATCCCCCG